CCTAACTAGGAATTGGTGAGAATGTCTTACCCAGCAGGTTTTCATCTCATGCTTGACTAATTTGAGCAGATGACTTGCAAGAAATGGATCCACCATCATTGTCTGGTTTATGATTTGTCCAAGTAGTCGCAAAAGGTTATTCTTTACTGCAAAGACAGCTGGCTACCATGTGACCAATATTTCTGTTTCTTAAACGGTCTTTGTTCAAATTTTAATCAGTGTCTTTATTGAAGAAGTAGGGTGTCCTAAAGAAATGCGCTTTCTTTCTCTGCCAAAGACAACAGCCACCTATTCTTTAAATAGCACTTATATATATACTAATCGGAGATGGCATCATGCCTATCTGGGTCTAGTAAAGAGCACATATAATAAGCATGTGGAAGGCAAACATGCTGCAGCTAATGCTACGTAAAATGAAATGCTGCTCCTGTAGTTTTATGAAGTATGAGTACGTAGATTATTAGTCCTCTAATGTGGCAAAATGCAATTATCCAACAGCAATTAAAATCAATTACATTCTTTATGTTATTTCTATTTTATGAGCTAAAAAAAGACAAACTGGGGTGTTCAGTTCTGAATGGCTCCTGTTCTTGTTGCAATTTCTCATGTGGTGCATTATCTAATGAGTCGCATTAGCTTCCAGAAATAAGTGCTATAAAATTGTAAAATTTTATTGTTCTTGTATCTATTTCTGTTTCATTTCATCTAGCATCCCACATGCTATATCATCATTGCTCCCTTACTTTTACTGTAGCCACTAATACAGAGAAGATAAACCAAAGGAAAGACATAGTTCTTTCATACATATACTGTGACTTTGGAAAACCACTTAACTTAATAAACTAAATGCTCTCTGTATAAAGAGCAGGGAGTACACAGATGAAAAATGAAGACTGTTGTGCCTCCATTAGTCTCATGTTTTCTATTCCAGGATGATCCTATAATGCTAGGAAGTTACTATTAAGAATTCTAAATGGCTGGGGAGATGGCTCCATGGATAAAACTTTGACCATGAACCAGAGACCCCAGGTTTTTAACTGAACCTCAGGCCAGGTGGGCATGGCAGCTGCCTACAACCTTAGCAACTGCAATGCAGAAAAGGGGGTACCTGGAACAAGTTGATAGACTAGGTGAACAGGCAAGAGAACTTTTTCTTCTTTGACATTTTATTCTACTCAGTGGATTTTTGTTTTTTGTTTGTTTGTTTGTTTGTTTGTTTGTTTTTAATCACTATAATGTGAATTATTTTCAGTCCTTGACCACTTTCAGGTCATTTGTCCATTCTAAATTCTTATCAGATAACCACTACCCATTATTTCACATTCCATCAGGCTAAAAGGAGCTTTTTTATCTTGATCTTTTAAAGTTTTTACACATTTTCCTCCATGTATACTGACAAGTATTAATGTAAACTATAATATGGTAACTTTTGAGGTGCCTTAGTGAAGAAACAAAGCTTGGGAATTATTATACACAATTTATAGTTTTAAAAAATCTAAAGCTCAAACAGAACTATCAAATAAGCAATGGAACCTTGATGTGAGCATAAAATTTTGCAACAAAATTTGCTTTCCTTTACAGCGTACCACTCTCCATTCAAGAGCAGGATCATGTCTTATGGCAAGAGAAGTGATGCATCAGAAAAGTATTGGTTGCTTTTGCAGAGTACTGTGTTTGGTCCCAGAATCCATATTATGGCTTGCAACCACTTGCAACCCCAGTTCCAGGAGCTCTAGACCCTTCTTATGTCTTCTGAGGGTGCCAGTCCGACATGTGGTCCACATACACATATGCAGGCAAAGCATTCATACACACAAAACAATTAAACCTTTTGAAAAGAAAAGAGAGCCATGTCTTTCTCAGATTGATTGAAGCAAGTCAGTTGAGAGAGACTTTTTGTAATTATTAATTACCGAGTCCTGTTTGCTCATCCATTGTGCTGATGTTTTTCCAGCTGTCTGACTTGTTCATATCTGTAAGCTGCTAAAAAGTAAGAAACATGCTTATTCCTCATTTTATGCCTTGCTATAACAACAAAAATTTGGAAGGATATAGACACTGGGTAAATCTTGACTTAGGAAGTAAAATAATTAGTGAACAAAGATGTATTTACATCTACACTATGTACGATAGAATTCTTCTACGATATGGGTTGAAAGCCACTAGTGATTTTGTGTATAGCAAATCAGATGTTTAACTGAAGACATCCAGCGGCTTAGTTTGCTGTATTGAAGAACAAAAACCAGATGGAAAATCCCATTCATGTTTTAGTGCAAATCAGGAAGATTATCTGTATCCTGTTGTTTCCATCCTAACACTCCTTCACCCATTTCTTCCTAGGTATGATCTGGACTTCAGGGGCCCTCAGATGAGTTTAAGGCAATATGCTCCTTTACATTTCTGACTAATTTAGGCACTCCTGGGAGCTTTCTTTGTACTTTCCAAAGACATAGATGGAGATCAGAACTTAACAATCAATCCATGTTTCTCTGAATATCCAGGGCTGCTGCACTATTCTGTGCTCTGTATAAACTGGTTAATGTGAGGAGGTTATATAGTACTCTGTACAAATACAGGGAGAGATGTAGTTTCTAATTTATATATCATCTTGGCATAGTCTTCTAACAGCACAGAGAAGCCAATTCATTTCTGAACGCACCTCGGGGCTTTTCTGTATACGCTAACATACTGTGCTGCAGCAGGGCATGCCATGCAGAGCTTGTCTGCCTCAGAACGTCACTGGGTGGTTAACTGTTCATTATTACAATGGCACTTGTATGAAGAACTCTAAAATTACCCATTTGAAATCTCCAAAAGATACTTGCTTTCTATGACATTTTATGCTAATCTTCTGTGCTACCACCTGTTACTACTGCCACCGCCTATTGTAAATATTTCCAAATACATTTCTTTAACAACTTAGTCACAAAGGGTCTTACAACAGTCAGAGGGCCCATTAAATATACAGTCATTATGATAAACGACGCATGAAAAACTGAAAAGTATTATCTTAGCTAGATGAGTATTGGTGACTGAGTGGATTCAATGTAGAATATAAGTTTAGAGCATGGACAGACAAGATAAATCTGCAGAGATTAATCTACTTGTTTAGTGCACCTCTGTGTTTACACAGTGACGGTTGAGATAGAGCATGACCTAAGTTGCTATTAATATGGCTCAATTTGTCTTTCTTGCTGAACTTGTCATACCAGCAGAGTGCGTAGTTTGTGTTCAACAAAACCCTCCAGAACAAAAGGCCACCCCCTGGCCTTATTCAAGTGTGAAAAGATCAGATTCCCAGAAACAGGGTTGGTGAGGGTGAAGCTTGTATAGGAAACTCCGCGGCAGTGGTCCTCAACCTCCCTGATGCTGTGACCTTTACTGCAGCTTCTCATGCTGCAGTGTCCCCCATAAAATCATTCCATTGCTACTTTGTAAGTGTAATTTGCTACTCCTAAGAATTGTGATGTAAATAACTGTGTTTTTTGATGCTTTTGGAGTTGTGACCCACAGGTTGAAAAACTGTTCTAAGATGACTTCTGCTTCAGTCTCATACACCTTACCATGACATGACTTTGATAATTACACCTGGTTCTCTATTTTCTCTGAGTTATCCTTTGCAAGAGAGGTGAGGGAATGGGTATTCATGTTTCCTCAGAAATACCTACTTGAACAAATAGCATCATATTACCATTTAAGTTGTTTTTTTTTTTTTTTTAATGTGGACTGGGGAAAAACATACTGGTATCTCATAGAGATTTAATTCTTTCCATGTCAATTATAGACTATATGGGTGATAGGGCAGGCAAGTGAAAAATTATATTCAGTTGCATGGAATATTGATGTTAATGGAGATACCAGTTTTAGAAAGAAATTATGTGCAATGCTTAGCTCAAAGCCAGTACTTTTAACATTTTACACGTGATAGAATTATAAATTAGTCAATTTGGTGAGCCCAAATAAGAAGTGAGTAAAATTTATATTCCATATATTCTAATCATAAGGCTTGTTATTTTCTTAGAATAAATTCATGGTAACCTGTATATGTGTCTATATTCTTCCACTTGTCTGATTTAGTTTGCCTTTGCCTTCATTCCCTCTCAGCCTGTTGCCTTGACAACTATCATGTATGTGCTTGTATGAGAGGTTTTCCTTTGACCTGTATTTATTTCTATGGAAACAGTGATGTCATTGGTGTGGGCAGATGTTCAGGTGAATCAAGGTAAAGAAACATGAAATGTTGTCCTCCTTTGGATCATAAAATGTGTCATGAAAGCAAGTTTTGAATTAATAAACTATAATTTTGTGTTTATTTGGATTTGTTCCTCAAGATTCAGTTTTCATTATGTATAAATTAACTGGAATAGAATGGACTAAAATTGCAAGACATATTGGATGGCACATTGTTAAGCTATGTAGTATCATTAAAAATACAAATACATATATGTAACAAACTTTAATCTTAAAAATCAGAGAGTTAAAAGTTTATTTCAATTGTGTTTGTTATTATAAAAATTATGGTGTTGACAAGACGGCTCAGTAGGTAAAGGGTTTGCCATAAAGCTTGACAGCTGAGTTTGATCCTTGGGACTCACGTGGTAGAAGAGAGCTGATTCCAGAAAATTATCCTCTGACCGCCACATGTATCTGGAGCACACTTTCAACCACCTCTCACACACAGAAGAAATAAATACATAAATAATAAAATGTAAAAATTTAGTAATGCAAGGAATTTTATATTAATATCAAAGTAATATCCGTTAGAATAGTAGATCAACGATTAAAACGCCCAACTTACAGCCATTATATTAAAAGGAAATCCTAATTTTAGAAACACAGAGATACAGGGAATGATAGTGATTATTTTTCTGCAACATCAAAAATTCACACAATAGGCATTACATTTTATTTTAAGTATTTACATTAAAAAAATCTGCTTCCCTCTGTCTTTCTCTGTGCTTGTGTGTTATTCACTTCAGTCTATTTTCTTTTCTTTACAGGCAATGTGGAAACCTGCCTATGATTTCCTCTATGCATGGAGTGCTCACTATGGAAATAGCTGCAGAGATGTGTTACAAGACCTTCAATCAGCTTTGGACAGAATGAAAAACCCTGTCACCAAACGGTGGAGAGATTTAACTGGAACTTTAATACTAGTAAATTCTTTAGAGGTTTTGAGAGTAACTGCTTTCACTAGTTCTCAGGAAATATAGAATGAAGCAAGTTTTGGGAGCAAGGAGAATGGAAAGGGGGAAAGGTGTGTGTGACAAAGGGGTTGGGGGATGAGCTCATAAAGATGTTTTAGATTTGGAAAACTGTTTTACCTTCTGAAACAAAACCTGCAACTATTAACAGAACTGGGTTTTGTAATCAAAGCTCTTTTTGTGTATGTTGCAAAGAAAAATCATAAAATGCTCTATTATTGAGAAAGAAAGAAAAGCCCTTCTCTCTCCTTCAAAGTTCCTTCAGTTTTCTTAATTTAAAACACATGAGTGTTTAATAACATCAAACAGATACCTCAATAAACTGAAGGCTTCATCATAGGCAGCTAAGGTTTACCATGAGGCAGGAAAATAGAAGGAGTGAAGACACTTACCTTCAAAGGCTGCATCTTTTCTCTACAAATCTCCTCCTATATTCTTCAGTGTTCTATGTGCAAAAATCAAGGGTGGAAGAGTATTAGTCTTCCTCCCAAGAGACCCAGCCCATTGGTGACACCAGGAGTTAGGTCAATGCAATCTGAGGCCCTAGAGGATGCAGAATGGTTTATTCCTGGAAGAGTGAGCAAGTTGTGAGCACCCTCTGCCTAAATAGTTTTGCAGAGGAAGTGGCCCCAGGTTAGCCCCAATGGTCCCTTGCCAGGAATGCCCACAGAAGAGAACCAACAAATACTGTTTCTGGCTATTGAAAAATCATATCACATAGCAGAATAGTGAAAAAAAATAATAAAAATGAAAATAAAAATGCATACTGAGAAGCAAAGCTTATTCCTCTTTTTAAACAGTCTTGAATAATTACCCAAAGGAAAATATGTCACTGTCAGAAAAACTGTCTTCAAACATGGACTGGAAATTTTTATTATTTTCCTTTAGTGTCTTGGGACTATATGTAATCCACCTAATCTGAAGTATTATCCCATGACCGGAATGCAAAATATTTTTTCTACCAATCAGGATATATAACACTGAGTTACTACAAACAATTGCTATCATTAAAACACTTTCAGTACTAAAAACTGACATTTTTGTGTGTGCTCACATGAAGACATGCAATGTGTGTGTAAACATCTCAGAGTGCAACACAAAACTTGTGAAAAATAAGGCTAATGTGAGATCTTGAGTCAATTTAGACATTAATGATTGGCCTAGGTGACAAAATATGCTCTCTGTCTAATCGCCCAATGGCTGCCAATATTTTTTTATTGCGACCTTTCTTTACTTATTGTACTTCTCTTAAAGGAGAATGAATCCAATGATAGGCATATAGGTGTTTGAGATGCAAAATAATAATGAGGAAGAATGCATGGTTTCTGGCTTCAGTGTTATTAATGCTAGGGATGCGTAATAAAAATGACACCATTAAATGTAAAATTGCATCTACAATGGCAGCTGCAATGGAGAAACTGTGATGCTGAAATAGAGGCTTCATATGAATGGGGGAGAGTAGATTCAACAAGATCTGAGAATCAAATGATAACCCAGAAGAGAATTAAGCAATTACACCTGATGTTGGGGTGGGGGACCTAAAAATCAATGGTTCTTTCAGATAGTGTACAGATAGCTCAGGGTTGAAGGCAATAAAGGAACAGAATGATGAATAAAAAGAAAGGATAAAGAGGTAAAGGTGAAAGGACATCAGTGAAGGTAGAGGGGGAGGAGACTACATTCATGTCACTAAAGCCTGTAGGACTTAGGAAGGAGTGATACAACTCAAAGATAACTTGGATAAGCTAAATAGGTTTTGTTTGTGGATTTCTGAATAAAACATGTCCATTTGGGTAAAAACTAAAAGCATAATCATTTTAGAGCTTTTAATATTCCCACCCTAATGTATTTGATATTTTGGCAAAGGTAATTTGAACTAGTGTTTAGAACAATCTTAAAGACATTCACTACTTGATGATAACACAGTCTGACCAAGGGCTTGTAGACACATGTTCAAGGACAGAATTTATTTTAGCTGAAAATAAATTCAAAGAGAGGAAAGAAAAAAAATCAGCCAATTTGTTAGCCTAGGGCACAGTGACTTAAAGTGGTGACTTTGCTTCCTTTAGAACATTGTTGGAATCCTTTTTATTTTTTTAATTATTTTATAATTTATTCATTTTTTTTCTCGATTACAGCCCTTTCCCTCATCTCCTTCCTTTCCCACTATCCCTCCCTCTTTCACCAACTCCTTCCCCTAGTCCACAGAAACAGGGAGCCCTCCTCTCCTACCGTCTGACCTTAGCCTATCAAATCTCATCAGGACTGCCTGCATCCTCTTCCTCTGTGGTCTGGCATGGCTGCCCCACCAAGGTGGAGTGATTGAAGAGCAAGCAGCAGAGTCCATGTCAGAGATAACCCCTGTTCCCCTTAGTAGGGGATCCACATGGAGACTGAGTTTCCCCTGGGTTACATCTGAATAGGGAGTCTAGTTCCTCTCCATGCATGGTCCTTAGCTAGTTTATCAGTCACTTCAGGGCCCCCTGTGCCCAGATTTGTTTGCTTTGTTGGTCTCCTTGTGGAGCTCTTGTCACCTCTGAGTCCTTCTATCCCCTCCCCCTTCTCTTCCATAGGACTCCTGACACTCAGCCCAGTTTGGCTGTAAGTCTCTGCATCTGCTTCAATTCCCTGCTGAGTGGAATTTTTCAGAGGACCTCTATGGTAGGCTCAGATCCTGTTCCCTGTCTTCAACCACTGCCACTGTCTATTCTATTTACCCTTCTGAATGAGAATTAAGCATCCTCCACAGGGTCCTCCTTGTTATTTAGCTTTTTTAGGTCTCTGGATTACAGTGTGGTTATCCTGTATTATATAGCCAATATCCTCTTATAAGTGAGTATATACCATGTGTGTGTTTCTGGTTCTGGGTTACCTCATTCAGGATGTTCTTTTCTAGTTCCATCCATTTCCCTGCAAATTTCATGATTTCTTTGTTTTTGATAGCTGAGTAGTTTTCCATTGTGAAAATGTACCACATTTTCTTTATTCATTCTTTGATCGAGGGACATCTAGGTTGTTTCCAGATTCTGGCTATTAGGAATAAAGCTGTTATGAACATAGTTGAACAAGTGTCCTTGTTTGGTGGAGCATCTTTCAGATATATGCCCAGGAGTGATATAGCTGGATCTTGGGGTAGCACTATTCCCAATTTTCTGAGAAAGTGCCAGATTGATTTCCAAAGTGATTGTACAAGTTTGTACTCCCACCAGCAATGGAGGGTAATCTTACCACTACGTCAGCAAACTTGAATATTTCAGGAAGGGATAGCAAGAATTTAGTATCTGGATTTTTCCAGACTGCAAGGTCAGTGTAGTAAGATGACAAACAAACAAACAAAACAAAACAAACAGGAAAACACACAACCAATAAAACACATTAGGTTTGTATCTTATCACACTTTAAGGCAGTTGATAATTTTAAGCAGAGTTTTAAAAAATGAAAACAATCTTGATAATTTAAGGATGAAACAGTAGCTTAGACATTAACACACACATAAAGCTCATTATCTCTTATTGTATCTTTCTGAGTGAATTCTAAACCTATGTTCAGTCTATCCTTTTAAATTTGTTCTTATATAATTTTTATAAATTGTTCCTACTTTCTGCATTTTATAATTTCTTTGCTGTGGTGAATTTTCCTAATCAGAATAGATTAATTCAGTAATCACAAATTGCCACTCTTTTGGCAGGAAGTCAATGGAATTAATAAGGCACAGCCTCTCTTTGACATCCTTAAAGCATCAAAAGCTATTAATCTAAAACTTCTTTAAGCATTACAAAAACGGACAGATTAGATGGTCTTTTCAGTTCCTCAGGCTTTTCATTTAAGGATGCACAAATTAGCATGGGAGTCTAGTTAAGTCCCTAGCTCAGAATATGACAATTGTTATTTGTAATTACCAGTTCCTTGGCTTCTTTCTTCAGAGGCTTCACTTGAATCCACCAAAGAATTCCTTCAAGTGTGCCACTAACTATATCAATCACAGAAACATCACGCTTCATGCTTCATGTCATGTAGATAATACTGTGTAAGTTGTGAGCTTGCACATAACTAAGTTTGTATAATCATGAATCAATTGGATGCCACCGAACTGAAAAGGTGCTGCTAGTAAACAACTTTGAATATGTGACATGAGTTTTCGAATTAAAATTTTAGGTCACATTACTATACATAAAATATTTTCTGATTTTTTATGCCTAAGGAGTATTTGAAGTAATATAAAAGTCAAAACTTAAGTCAGTGTAGGTTTTTTAAATTAAAATGGATTTTCTACTGTTTATACAAACACAATTAGTTCCTCTTCTTATGTGCTGCTGTATAGAACATTGAGAAATGATGTATAGCCATATAACACAAAGACTCACCATCATGCTGAGTAGGAGAATACATAGACAGTTTTCAGAATAACATATGAAATAACATATGAAACTCTGGTTTCTTTCATGCGTATTTACTGGTTTACAGACTATAAAGTGACTATATATGCACAAAATGTTGAGTTTGCTCAGGGCTAGCATCTGATATATATCTGATATTTAATGTGTGATGTGTCAATATTGATTTCAGGATTTCACTGGATATTGCTGCAGAACATACATACACAGTACACACTGATATTTATGTATATATAGTTTTACATTTAACGAATAGTTTTCTTTTTTGAATAATAGTATCAGTTTATAGAGAGGAGAATCAGGTGAAAGATCAGTACTGGATAATAATTAGTTAAACCAAAGAGAAAACTTTGAGTGGCATAGAAAGCTTCCTGTTAAAGTGGATAGTCCAGAAGTAGAGGGCTGTGGCTTCTAGTGTTTGCCCGCTAGTCTAAGTAAGCCTTTAGAGCAGTCACTCAGCCTTCTGGACTTTGGTTTCTTAGTAAAAGAAGCTAAAACAGGTTACGTAAGTGCTAAAGCTCTCCTTACATTTAAGTGTTTATAAGTATATAACAAGTTGAGCACATTGTGGCTTTATTTGTTTTGTTAGGAGGGAGAATGTGAAGAACAAAAATTTGAATACAAAACATCCATATCAAAACAATTACCAGGATAGCAGATAAATAATATACTGTATTGGACTTTCCATCACTGAAGTAAATAATTAATAGGAAAACACTTAGAAAGGAAAGTTATATTTTGGCTCACAGTTCCAAAGTTTCAGCCCATTCACTCTTCGGCTTTGTGTTACCACGCCTGTCATGAGGCAGAACATCATGGTGAGTAAGTGTGGTGGAGGAAGCCCCTCACCAGATTGGGAGCAGAGGCTGGAGCCTAGGTATAACCTTCAAAGGCACACCCCTAGTAACTTACTTTCTACATGTATTAAGTCCCTGGATTAATCCCCAGAACCACAAAATTGAATTGCTTATGATTTATTTTGTATTTACTTTGTCCTATTTATTAGTTTTGAGAACTCTGTGAATGCATATTGATTATATTTACTCCTTCCATAAGAGCCTCTTGGCACTGAGAGGGGTGAGCATGGTATAGATGCTCTATTTAGGGGATTATGATAGCTACCTAGTAAAGATGTAACTTCCAGGGCAGGGTTAGTCTTTACATCTATGAGTCCACGACAAGAGTACATGGTGTCTTCAGTAATAGGATCTTACCTCAAGCTCTGAAGAGTACCCAAGAGCACTGGCAAAATAGCCTGTAACATTTGTGTACACTGAACTCCAAGATTGTGTACTGGAAAAACTGTTTCTAATTGTAGTGTGGCTCAGCCCTAGCACACACATTTAATCCAAGAGTTTTCTGTAAACAGGATTAAGTGACGTTAACCCTGTGTCAGGAGCCAAAGCGGGAAACTAATTGACAGAAGGTGAACATGGTCAAAAACCATAAAGAATAAGAGAAAGTCTGGAGGAATTATAAGAGACACACAGGAAGCAGAAAGGAGGGACATTTAGGTGAAGGGTATTTAAGACAGCTTGGAGAAGGAGAAAAAGCTTTTTCCTTCTGAGATTTCTGCTGACTAGGAAGGTCAGCTTTTTCTGCCTCTCTGAGCTATCAAGTT